ACTGATGTTTGTGTCAGTTTTCAGGAGCTATCTGCACCCACTTTTATATCCTTTCTTCCTTGTGGAGTGTCTAGGGAGGGGAAGCGGCCATGAGCCTGACTTCCAGGAGTCTGGCAGTGCGGTCAGGATTGTGTCTGCGGCACTGGTCTGTTGGTGCCTGGCCCGTTCTCCAGAGATTGGACCTGCAGGACTACTGAGGGAGTGAGTGGCTGTCGCCGGGTTGGTGGGCCATCAGGACAGGTCTGTCAGCTGAGTGATGCTCCCTTTGTGGGAACACACTAACCACCAGGGGCAGCTCATGTGTCTGCCCGCTCGTGGTCAGTGCATGTCATAGCGACCAGTTATAATGGTCACCTAGGCTTTGATACATATAGAGACCCTAGGATTGCATCGTCTTGTATATCCATCCAATGAGCAACGTGAAAATAAAGACCATATAGACAATGCCGTGGAACATTTTATAGGCCAAGCCTAGAAGTGGCACACATCACTTCTCCCCACATCCCGTTGGTAAGGAATTAGCATATATATTATATGACCCCTGCATAGGTACAAAGGAAGCTGAAACTAAAAGGATGTAAATTTTATGTAAAAGGTTTCTTCACTGATATATGAGTGTGGGCATATCATGTTGATTTCTATAATAGCCGACACAAAACTTCTAGCATTTTAGCCTAATTGAGAGCTATCCCTTGCCTGAGTTACTCTCCCATGACTTAGGGCGGGGAAGGATTAGTTTCTCATCTGCGCATTTATTCAGGGACCCCAGATTCTTCCAACTAGTAAGCCTCTTGGAGAGCAGTAGTACTCAAACTGTCAAATGTCTGAGAATCACCTGGAGGGCTTGCTGAAGCAGATTTTTGACCTACTCTCAAGTTTCTCATTCAGTGATTTTAGGTTGGGGCCCAAGAGTTTTCATTAATAACAGTTTTCTGGATGATGTGGGTGTTGTGATAGTATAAATTTGGGAATCACAATTTGATATCCTTTGTGTTTATTCTTGTTAACTACTTCCATACCCCAGTCTTCGATAGTCTCTAACAAGTCGTAGCAAAAGACATGGAAGGTCTTGGGATATTTATGGGTCAGGCCTGGAAGTGGCATATCTGACTCTGCCCACATTCCACTGGTATTCCACTGTACGGCCCCTGCCTAGGTGCACACAAAGGGGGCTGAAAGTAGCAAGATGCCAAGGAAAGTGAAAACTCACAAATGTTAGTGAGTGTTAACATTCTTAGTCACAACTGGTGTGTACACATCATTAAATTATTTATAATGATAAAAGCAATTTATTAAGGTTTTCTTTAGTATTGATATAACCGGGAAGAAATCTAAATTATACAGCTATTTCACTGTCATTAGAATTCATTTATCATCTATTAGGCAAGGGAATAATAAATTAGAAATGTCATTGACTCCCCGAGGAAGCACATTGATAACATTGATTGAAAACTGTGATGCTAATGCTTGTCGATTTTTAAATATTCTTTAAGATTAAAAATAAATTTAAAGAAAGGTAAAGAAAAGAAATTGCACTTAAGTGTCAATAAGAAAATAGTACAACTCAAATTCAGTAGTTCCCTCAAGTGACTTTCATGACAGAGAGATCCGTGTGTGAAATTAAACAGCATGTGCCATTTGTTGAGGATTTTTCCATGGGTTGTATTTTTCTTAGTGTAATCTGAGCTTTTCAACCATGTTTTCACTGCTCCATTTATAATTTTTCCTATATTTATTTACTCAAATATATTATTCTTCATGTCATAGTGCCAAGAAATCTGGTTAGTAAAAATGCCAGATTCTTTTATTTGATTTTATTTGATTTCATTAGGGACCATCCGCCTAGCTGCTTAAGTGCCTGACTACCGTTTGCAGTTAAACATTCATTAAGGAATCCCCAGTGGGTTCATTTGTTTCACTGAGGTCCAATTACAGTGCCACAAAAGCAGTTTTTGTAGCAATTAGCTGATTTTTCCTGTTTATGTTCTGTCTCTTTAGGAAGAGGACTAGCTTGTGGAGGTCAGATTTTTAATTAGGCACGATTTAGGGCCAATAAGAAAACTGATAATTTACTAAATGGCTGTGGTGGACTTAACAGCTCAAGAAAGAGGTAAATAACGCAACAGGGACCCCAGGACTCTGTTTTCCTGGTGAGCAGAGCTCAGAGCCACACAATGTAAGGAATAGATTATGTGTTAAGTGGTTGTCATTGATGCTAATGTGCCATGCAGGGCAGGTGTCTTAACCTCAGGTGCCATCAGGATTAGTCATTGGTAGTGGCTCTGTTCTTGGTAGCATTTCATGAAAGAGAGGGATTCGCTTTTATTCTATTTCCACAAATTTGGTCTGAGAAAGAAACATTTGATAACTAATGCAAGAATATATAATTATCAAAATGCTAGGGTATAATCTACAACAGTACCCTAAAATGACACTAACTGTGAGATTAGCATTCAAAGTGTTATATTTCATATGTGAATTCCTCCAGTACCTCAGAATGTGACTGTATTTGGACACAGGGTCTTTAAAGATGTAATTAAGGTTAAATGCGGTCATTTGGGGTATGGCCTAATCCAATAAGACTAAGGTCTTTATAAGAAGAGATTAGGACACAGATTCACACAGCCGGAAAACCATGTGAAGACATAGGGAGAAGAGAGCCATCTACAGGCCAAGAGAAAAGGTTTCAAGAAACCAACCCTTTTAACATCTCTTGATCTTGGCCTTGTAGCCTCCTGAACTGTGAGGAAAGCAACTTCTGTTGTGTAAGCTACCTAGTCTGTGGTACAGTCGTCTCCCTTCTTTGAGGGAGTTACGCTCCATGACCCCTAGTGGATGCCTGAAGCCACCAATGGTACGGAGCCATCTAGGTATCTTTTTGGTCATTTCTTCCACCCACAAATTTAATGCCTTTTTCATTTTCACTAAGCACTTTCCATGCACTGTGGGGTAACATTTGCAGTTTGAAGTGCTACAGCAAAACTAGCATAATGTCTTTTTTCTTGCTCACAATTTAAAGGCTAGACGATTTGAGCAACCTCCACATACCAATTTTTCCCCCTTCTCTTATTAAGTCAATAACTTTCACATTTTTACTTAAAGGAGACACTTTATGGATTCTCTTTGGCATACCCAAATTGCCAGAATTACTACTTTTGCACTTTGGGGCCATTGTTAAGTAAAATAAAGGTTACTTGAATACAGTACCATACTACTGTGACAGTTGATCTGACTACCAAGAGTGCCACCAAGTGACTAATGAGGAAGAAGCACAAACAGAAGATACACTAGCCCTGGCTGCTTTGGCTCAGGGGATAGAGCATTGGCCTGCGAACTGAAGGGTCCCGGGTTCGGTTCCGGTCAAGGGCACATGCAGGGTTGTGGGGCTCGATCCCCGGTAGGGGGCGTGCAGGAGGCGGCCAATCGATGATTCTCTCATCATTGATGTTTCTATCTCTCTCCCTCTCCCTTTCTCTCTGAAATCAATATACAGTGGGGCCTTGACTTACGAGTTTAATTCGTTCCGTGATGGAGCTTGTAACTCAAATTATCGATATGTCAAATCAAAAGTGAACGAGTGAGACACGTGATGCTGGGCTGATGTTGTGGCGTTCACTGTGATGTTCGCTGCACCAACTAGCGGTGGGGTATCTGAAACTGGCTCGTAACCCGAATTTTAGCTCGCAACTCAAAGCAAAAAATCGGCCAAGAGACGGCTCGTATCTCGAAAACTCGTTAGTCGGGACACCCGTAAGTCAAGGCCCCACTGTATGTAATATATATATATATATATATATATATATATATATATATATATATATATATATATATATATTAGACAAAGAGTGATTTATACCCAGGTGGGATGGACTAGAGGTGGCTAGAGAATTTATTACACTACTCAGTACAACAAATAACTTAAAAGTTATGAATTGTTTATTTCTGGAATTTTCTACTTCATACTTTTGGATTGCTGTTGATCCCAGATAAATTAAATTATGGAAAGTGAAACTGTGGATAAGGGGGAACTACTATACTTTGTTAATAGCAGCCCTAACAAACTAATCCAAAGACCTAATAGAGGAATTTGAGTAATCATATTTAGATAATAAACATATATTATTATATGTATTCTCATTAATATCCCAAATCTATGGCATCAAAGGATAGCTCCAAAAAAGATTTGTATTCAGATTTTCCTATCCAGTCATCTGGACAAGTCAAGTCAATTTACAACTATTATTTCTGTAATCTTAAGAAAATCAACAATGTGTGAATCAAAGAAGTTCTACTAGCTATAGGTGCTTCTGCTCCAAATTGTGTTAAAGGACAATGTTTTTTGGAAATTCAAGAAGGAAAAAACAAATTAAAAAATAGACAGTTGGGAAGATTTACACAGGCATTAACTTGTAAGAAGATATACACATTATGATATATGCATTTATTAAAATGAAATACTAAAAACAGTGAATGATACTAGTGACATATCTATTAAGTTAGTGTTAAGGCTACAATGAAGCACATTTTTATTCACTAAAACCTTTTCTTTCCTATCTTTCTTATAATTTCAAAAACATGCTTGCAAATTTGTTTTACTTTATCAAGATAATATTCCTTCTTATGGATTCTTTTTCACTGTCCGAAAATTTGTCAAAATGTCTGCTGGATTTTATAATTTGGAGTTTTTAATTTCCATATCCTGGTTCCTTGATCCTGAGACCGAGAGTAACTTTGATCTTTGAGAAGCTTTAGGGAGCTTCTATTTAATGTATTGGTCATAGATGAGTAAGTAGTCCTCAAATATTTTATCAGGCCCTTGATAACTTCATGCTGAAGCCCCCTTCCCCCTCACAAGGCCTCTCCCACAGCCTCAGCCCACCCCTCCACAGGGAGACAGGCTGTACTTCCTCAGAGCTCTTCCCCAGACTTCACCATAGAGAAAAGATGCAAACAGAGCTCCACCTCTGTCATGCCCTCGCATTACCTTTCTTTTTACTTACCAATAGTTCCTTTTACATAAGCCAGATATGACATTCTTGAACACCAGCATTAAAACCCTACAGAGGAAGAATTGGTACATAACCTTAATGCTCACATGCAGGAATGCTAGTAGGATGACCTAAGTGAGTTTTAGTAAGAATGAATGTCTTTCTCATTCTCTCCTCCCCCCCCCCCCCCCCCCCCCCCGCTTCTCCCTCCAGTCGTAACAGACAAAAATACCTCAAAATATTTTGGTTATTCCTTCCCCTGGCATGTGGCACTGTTTCTGCTGAGTAGACTCTTCAAGAAAGGAATCTTGGCCTGTATTCTCAGGACAACATTGTTTCCTGGACACTCTTCTTTTCATGATGCAACCACACTGCAAACTGAAAGCATGATCATCTTTTCCAAAGAAATTAGAGAAGTAAAGTAATTATCCAATTGACTCAGAGGGATATAACAAAGAAGAATCCAGAATTCATGTACCTATTTACTCATGTACTAGTATTCTATTTATGAATCTTAACAAGCGTTACATGATTTAATATATGCCTGTAAGAGAAAGTCTTGAGGAGAAGGGATATCTGACAGATTTAAAAAAGTTTTTCTGAGAATAATAAACCACAGATTTAAACTAGATCTAATTCTTTTATCAGGTGACTATTGACACTAAAGAAAAAATAATAAGAACACTTGGAAAACTTAATATCACTTAGAGCAGTGTTAGAACTCAATAGATACTTATGGGATGGTTTAAATGGTTCCAACAGAAAAAAAAAAGAAAGAAAAAAAGAAACTCATGAATATTTCCATTAGGAATGACTGTTACTGGGAAATATAATTCATTAGACTGTCTCAGGAATAAAGCAAACCCGATTGATGCAGGATTCAAAAGAGCATTGTAAAGCTAGGAAATGGAGTTCCTATTTTGGAGCAGGATAGTGCAACCCAAATGAGCCCTCTATGCTATGTTTACTAAATTTGTACTTATGAAATAACCCACAACCACTAAATTTTTCTTTTCTTTAATACTTACTGTGCCATTTTCCAGGGGTAGTTTTTCTGTTCATATTTCTCTAGTGGGCCGTCAACTGTTACTTATTAAGGAATCCATCCCATTCTATAAATTTGCAACTGTCGATCACCAGCCCCTGGATATTAAGGAAAGCAACAAAAAGATTACTCAAATTGTATCTAAAATAAGAGAAATTTTGTTCCGAATAAAGAGTCAAATAGCCTCTCATAATAAGCTGTTTAAACTTTAGTATTTCACTTTTTCTTTATACTTTTGGGGTATTTGTAAGACTTTTTGTCTCTTGGTTCCCAATTGTTTCCTAATCTTCCCAAAACAATTTCAATTTATAGTCATTGACCTGCCATTTTTGGGGAACAATGCCATCTTTAATTTGTAAACACATAGCTGTTTATACAATAAATAATAAGCTCGTGGTGCTTATAGAAATTCTAGGTAAATGTCTGTCAGTCAGGTCAGGAAATTGTTTCCCTCTAACTATGGCTTCCATGGGGAAGCACGTGAGGGCCTGGCACCAAACAAGAGCCATCAACAGGATCTTCCCATTCAAGTGGAAAGGGCTGGTACATATGTTAATTTTGAAACTGGAGCCCTTCTGACTTGAAATTCTTTCCGGAGGGTAATTAATAATCATCAGTCACAAAAGAAACTTTGTACAAACAATGAGTGGCACTAAACTCCCTATAGGCCCCACACAAACATATGGCTTTCAGAGAACCCAGCTGACAAAGAAAAGGAGAGTGGGTCTTCCAAAGTTATAGGTAGAATTTGAACCATCAGCCTCTGCCTTTTTTGTTGTTGTGGTTCAGTGCTTTCACGTCGGTAACTTCTATTATCACCAATATAGTAACTTTAGTTAGTTGGTCTTTTGGACACAAGTTTTACATTATCTGTAAACCAAGATGTTTTAGGTAGAATGCAACATTAGTAATCCTGCTCTTAAAAAGTAGTACAGAAAAGTCAAAACTTTGACCTTTCCAACAATCTTTACAGGAAGTAAATACAAACACATTCAGATATATTTTATTGGTTTATCTAGGATACAAGCAATGCTCTTTTGAATCCTGGATCAATCTGGTTTGCTTTGTTCCTATAAGAGACAGCCCAGCCCTTGCCGGTTTGGCTCACTGGACTGAGCATCTGCCTGCAGACTGAAGGGTCCTGGGTTTGATTCCGGTCAAGGGCACATGCTGGGGTTGTGGGCTCGATCCCCAGTAAGGGGCATGCAGGAGGCAGCCGATCAATGATTCTCTCTCATCATTGGTGTTTCTATCTCTCTCTCCCTTCCTTTCTGATATCAATAAAAATATATTTTAAAAAAGAGACAGCCCAATGAATTATATTTTCTAATCACAGTCATTCCTTGTAGAAATCTTCATAAACTTTCTTTCAACAAGTGTTAAAGCATACTTGAAGTCACATAGGTATGATATTAGGTCACAATATAGGTGAATGCTATTTAGTATTAAGTAGTACATGAAACCCATGCTTTAATATCTCATAGTTTATAATAATAATTTATACCTTTGGAATACATCAAGTTTTGACAAGGTAGTATTTTTGTTATTAAGAAAAATTAGAGATATTTTAGACTTTTTGTAGAGATATTATTAAACTAGCAAATTAAATACAAATAGGCACTTTTTCAAGTCAAAATTATTTAATATTATACTATAAATTTTCAACTACCTGACAGTGAATGATGCAGTACAAATTTATATAGAAAGTGATCCTACCCCTTTTGAAAATATTGAACTCAGCAAAAGCAAACAGACTAAGGCTACTGTGTTGGTTTAACTCTTTGATTATTGTTGCAGGCCAGATTTTATTTTATTTTATTTTTATTATAGAAAGAGGACTCCAAGACCACAAATTACCAGTTCTATTATTTGCCTTAGATATCATGCCAAATTTAACATGTGAATTTTTTCTTTGTTACTTTCTTATAAATTTCAAATGGCCTAAATCATGTTTAAGAACAAAAGCCAAGAATTTCATTTAAAACAGATAGAACTTTGCATTAAAAATTGGAATGGAAAAAACAACCCATAAGCCAAAGTATCATATTCAAGGTGTCTACACATCAACGACCAGTCCTAGCTGGTTTCCAAGTTTGGATCAGAGGGAGCATTCTTGCACCAGCAACTCTTTAATCTAAGACCCTTCATCACCCTCTAGGCCAGTGATGGGCAAACTGCGGCTCGCGAGTCACATGCGGCTCTTTGGCCCCTTGAGTGTGGCTCTTCCACAAAATACCGACTTCTGCGCATGGGCCACAAAGTTTCAATCACACTGAATATGCGCGCCCGCATGTGGTATTTTGTGGAAGAGCCACCCTCAAGGAGCCAAAGAGCCGCATGCGCTTGCGAGCCACAGTTTGCCGACCACTGCCTAGGCTACTGAGTCTGCCTCCAGGTTCTCCTGGTATCTACTCTGCCTCCCCCACTTCAGATAAGTTTTCTAATTGCTTCTAGAGTGGACTTTAAAATTTTAATTAGCTAAATGCTTTATTGGCTTCCTATGTTCCAGAGATAATGACTTAAACCTGGATTCACCTGGAAGATTGTAACTGCTTAGCCTTTTTCTCACGCCACCTTTGTCTCACATCTGGTTTTCATCCATATCTTCCAGCTTCTAGCTCCTCCATTAAGCCAGATTGCCTCTACTTCTGGACCTGGCTCTTTCCTCTGACTGGTGGTTGAATAGAGGGGACCCCAGTTCTGGCAGCCTTTTGGGCTCTCTACTGCCGAAAGCTTGAAGGTCTTTTTCCAAATGCTGTGCTACTGAACACTTGTGTGAGAGGCAATGCAGGGCGTAAAATTTCTCCCACATCCTCTGAGGTACAAGCCTAGCTCTGCTGTTTACTACTGATGTACTGGAATACTTACTTTGCCTCTCTGTACCTCAGGTTCAACAAATATAATGGTGATTATTACAGTACCTCACCCAGAGGATGGTGTGAGGATCAGGAGAGCTAATGGATGTAAAGCTCTTATATCCTGCCTGGTACAGAGTAGACATTACATGTATGTCGATTGTTGTTATTGTTATTATTGTTGTTAATATTACTTTAACCTAAGCTCCAACCAAAACACATACCGCCAAAAGGTTCATAGGCCCCAAAGACCAGGCCCAAAGACAAGTGTCTCATGTATAAGCCAGTTTTGATATTAATGCATAATGACATAGGGAAGGAACAATTTTGAACACATAGAAGAGAATGAGCAAAATTTAATAAAAAAAATTAACACTACACAAAAAAAATAGTGCTATCTCTCTGCATCACACCTGTCTCAGGGTTTCCCATTTCATTAGTGAGGTAAAAATATCCTACCATACCACCCACTGTTTTAATATCATCATAATGGTCTTTCTCATTATAATTCCTACTAGTCGCCCAATGCATGAAATTCATGCACATTAAAAGGGGATTAATTAGAGGAAATATTTTAATATTGCTATTTGCTCTTTCTCTGTAATAGAAGTGTCAGAGATGAAAGAAAATTAGTAAAATGTATATGAAAATCTCCCTCCTGTCAGAATCTGGGGCACACCACGGGACCCAGAGTCAAGTCCCCGCCCATCCATGTGCACCGCAAAATCGTGCGAGACCCAGACCCGGCTGGCTCCCCCGCATTGGGCTAGATCCAGACCTGGCTGGTCCCACCCTTGTCAAGCCCCGCCGGGTGGGTGTGCACAGCCTAAGACCCCCTGGCCTGGCGCCAGGAGGGGGGCACAACCTCATGTCTCCCTTCAAGCCCTGCCAGGCAGAGGGTACGGCCTGAGGTCCCCTGACCAAGGGTGAGGGGAGCAGCCTGAGTTCCCCTGGCCCAGCACTGGGGCGGGGCACACCTTGAGGTCTCCCATCAAGCCCTGCCAGGCAGAGGGCATGGCCTGAGGTCTCCTGTCATGCCCGGCCAGGTGGGGGGCACAGCCTCAGGTTCCCCAGCCTGGCGCCAGGGTGGGGAGTGTGGCCTCAGGCTCCCTGGCCCCGTGCCAGGATGGGGTCATGGCCTGAGGTCCCCTGGCCTGGCATCGGGGTGGGAGGAGCAGCCTGAGGTCCCCCAGCCCAGAACCAGGGCGGGGGGCACACCTTGAGGTCCCCCATTAAGCCCCGCCAGGAGAGTGGTGCGGCCTTAGGTCCCCTGGCCTGGTGCCAGGGCGGGGGGAGTGGCCTGAGGTCCTCTGTCAAGCCCCACGGGGTTGGGGGGACACACAGCCTCAGGCCCCTGCTGATGGCTGATTAAGGCTCCTTAAGGGAACTCGGTCTCAGCTGTGGGTGCAGCCATTTTGTTTTACAGAAACCCCGCCTCTACTGTGGGCACCACCAGCTTTGTGGCAGAGTGATAGTCAATTTGCATATTCCCTCTTTATTGTATAGGATAATATAAATACTCACACCAACTAAACACTACCTGTTCCTGTTATTGTAGCCCTGGTTTGGTAACCCTTTATTTTTCTGCTTGGCTACAATCACCATTAATGCTCCCATATTCTGAGTTTCTTCATTGAAATACAGTCACGGAGAACCATTCCTAAATGCTCCCTGCTACTATGGATTGTATTCCTGGAAAATGAATACAATAGTTAGAATGGATTTTTCTCCCAAGCACCTGGGTTCTTACCTGGACTGAAGATCTGGCCTACTTTTTAGCAGTGTCAATGGTGTGAACACACTGGTTTGCATGCCCACGTCTCTGCCGTCCATGACAGAGCAAAGCATTTGGCTGGTCATGATGATTTTTGAGTTGGAATTGGGCTTTCCTCTCATCCTTGTGAATCTAAGAAGATAGCTTTTAGCAACATCTTTATTTTATATATTTTTAAATGCCCTCGGAAACCCTTTTCTATTCCAAGTACCTGCTTATGAAGTAGACCTTAAATCATCAGACTGTTGTTGGTGCAACTAACAAAACAACTCTAAGCAAATAAGGGGAAGTGGAAGATGTGACAGTCACCACACTGAGCAGGCTACAGGCCAGTGCAGCTCCAAAGGAGTGCCTCTGGTTTTCCTAGTGCAGTGATGGCGAACCTATGACACACGTGTCAGAGTGACACATGAACTCATTTTTTTGGTTGGTTTTTCTTTGTTAAATGGCATTTAAATATATAAAATAA